TCTAGGTCAAATACTTTTGAGCTACGAGCGACACATGTTGAAAATTGCCAAATTTTACTAACTCAAGGGCAATAACTCTGAAATACTAAAAATATCCAGACGAAAATAACCAGTGCACAACTACACATGCTGATCAACATTCCTGTAAAGTTTCATGACTCTAGGTCAAAATACTTTTTGAGTTATGTGCGACACAAGTTGAAAATTGCAAAATTTTACTAATTCAAGGGCAATAACTATGAAAATACTAAAATATCCAGACGAAAATACCCAGGTGCACAACTACACATGCTGATCAACATTCCTGTAAAGTTTCATGACTCTAGGTCAAATACTTTTTGAATTACATGCGACACAAGTTGAAAATTGCAAAATTTTACTAAGTCAACGGCAATAACTCTGAAAATACTAAAAATATCCAGACGAAAATACACAGGTGCACAACTACACATGCTGATCAACATTCCTGTAAAGTTTCATGACTCTAGGTCAAATACTTTTTTAGTTACATGCGACACAAGTTGAAAATTGCAAAATTTAACTAAGTCAAGGGCAATAACTCTGAAAATACTACAAATATCCAGACAAAAATACCCAGGTGTACAACAACACATGCTGATCAACATTCCTGTAAAGTTTCATGACTCTAGTTCAAATACTTTTTGAGTTACGTGCGACACAAAAGTGAACGGACGGACGGACGGACGGACGGACGGACGGAAGGACGGACAGACGGACGGGCGGACGGACAAGGGTAAATCTAAATGCCCGCCACTAACGTGGGGGCACAAAAACTAAAATGATAGTTTACCCAATTCTACATCAATAGCTTGTATATTAAACTATGCTTACAATGTCTAGTATCTAAAAACTTTACTTAAAGTTCAATAATAAACCGATTAAACAATTAAAAAATTAATGAATAGTTAAATAAATAAATAAATAAAAATACTAAAAACACGTACATTTTTTTATATATAATTTAAATATGAAAGACTATGGGTTATCAGACAAATACACAAAGACAGAAGGGATCATACATGTAAGTCAACAGTTGAACTCATTTAAACTGTTTCTTTATTTCTTCCGATAAACAATTTTTGTAACGGTATAGAAAATGTATAATCTTCCATTCACCTTTGAAAGAATGCTCTTGACAATTTTATCTCCTGATAGGTAACAATCGATATTCAAACAAAAATATTTAACTTCAGACGAAGACTTTATTGTTTGATCATTAGATGAAATGGAAATTTTTTGTAATTTATTAATTTTTGATTTAGAACCAAATAGCATACATTCAGTCTTGCCCAGGTGTATAGATAATTTATTGTCAACTAACCAATCAGAGCATCGTTCCAAAACCTTTTCAGGTTTTGGGCTATAATTTTTGGATCCTTATGCAAAAATAATATTGTGCTATCATCTGCATATAAAATTAACTTGCAATCAGAATCGGTACTAGTTACCATGTCATTAACGTAGCAGAGAAATAGAAGAGGACCCAAAATACTGCCCTGAGGGACCCCACAAGTAATAGGAATTGAGTCAGAAAAAACTTTACCAATACTTATACTTTTTGATACCTTCCTGACAAGTATGATTAAAACCAAGAAATAGATTTGACACCTAATATATCTAATTTATCACACAAAATATCATGATTGACGGTATCAATTAAATGCTTTTTGTAAGTCCATCATAACCATACCAGTGAGTAACCCTTTGGAGCTATTTGTACGGATATAGTCAAGTAGGTAAATAAGACATGTCTCAGTTGAATGAGATTTCCGAAACCCGGACTGGTATTCGTAAATTAGATTATTATTTCTTAAAAATGACTCAAATTGTACATACATGAATCTTGAATTGGATACAATACATAAAATACCAACTGGTCTGTAATTCCCGACATCTAGCTTACTAATTTTTGTTTGTAGAGGTTTTACTTTAGCAATTAAGATAAAGAAAAAGTCAATAAACAATTATTTTAATGAAAGCTAGGTGTATAGGAGGATGCAAACTGCTCTGTTAAGACTGCTTGAGGACTGGAGACAGGCCCTGGATAACAATGAATATGTGGCAGCAATTTTGATGGACTTATCTAAGGCATTTGATTGTCTGCCAACATGACATTCTTTTAGATAAGCTAAAAGCATATGGCTTATCAGGCCCTGCCACCAAACCTCATGCAGTCTTATCTGTCAAACAGGAAACAGCAAATAAAAATAGGCAATATTGTAAGTTCATGGGCTAATATATCCAAAGGTGTCCTCAAGGATCAATCCTGGGCCGTCTACTGTTTAATATTTTCATAAATGACATTTTTTCTTTATAAAAAAATGTACTTTATATAACTATGCAGATGACAATACCTTTCTTTTCGGACTAATAAACATTTTTGATGAATAATATGTACCTTAGAACAAGAAAGTAACTATCTTATAAATTGGTTTCATTTTAATAAAATGCAAGCTAACCCTGACAAATTTCAAGCTATTGCTGTAGGGAAGAAAACTTTCACTAAATCCCCAACTTTTAAAATTAATACTAGTGAAATAACATGTGACGAAATTGTAAAACTCCTTGGCATCGACATTGATCAACAATTAAATTTTAATTTTCACATAAGCAATATATGTAAAAAAAGCTGCTAATCAGTTAAACATCCTCAAAAGAATAGGTCACAATTTAAATCAAACAAATAGGCTAACAATCTTTCATAATTTTATTTTGTCCAATTTTAATTTTTGTCCTATGGCATGGCATTTCTGTTCAGAAAATAATACTAACAAGATGGAAAAACTACAGGAAAGAGCACTTAGATTTGTCTATAATGATTTTAATTCAAGTTATGAAGATATGCTGATAAAAGTTAATATACCAACTCTAAAAAAATAAGAAGAATGAGGGCTATGGCCATTGAAACTTTAAAAAAAAATTTTCATGATATGTCTCCTGCTGTTCTGTCTGACCTTATTGTCAAGAAAACTACTGGTATTAATTTTAAATATTCAAATATTTTGCAGATCCCGCAAGTAAGAACTACAACTACTGGTAAAAAATCTTTCAGGTATGCTGCACCTGTTTTATGGAATACTCCTATCCCGAAAATTTTAGAAAATGTTCAAATTTTGCTCAGTTTAAAAAGTTAATTTCATCCTGGAATGGTAAACAGTGTAAATGTATTGCTTGCAGCTATTTCTATATCTTGATTTACTCCACTTTTTTTTTTATTTTTCTGGGTATGAACATTTTCTTTTGGGTCACATTTATCATTTAGCTTCTTTCAGTTTTTTTTTGCTTGCTTTAAATGTGTTTTTGCTATTTTTCCCTGCTTATGTTAATATTATCATTTAGTTTCTAGATATGATGTTGCTTTATTTTGTGATCTTTTGTTTTGATTTTGCTTTTTGTTTTGTTGTTTTTTTGCTTATCTTTCCAGCATGACTCAAGCTATCTGTTAAATGAGTTAAACTAATGACTTACATGTTTAATACCTTCTGTCTTTGTGTGGTCTGATAACCCATAGTCTTTCATATTTAAATTATATATAAAAAATGTATTTTTTTTTTTTTTTTTTTTTTTTAAGTATTTTTATTTATTTATTTATTTAAAATAATTCATTAAATTTTTAATTGTTTACTCGGTATATTATTGAACTTTTAAGTAAATTTTTAGATACTAGACATTGCTATATAGTGATGTAGATTTGGGTAAACTATCATTTTTAGTTTTTTAGCATATGATTCGTTTTTATAAATATATCCTAAAAGGTCTATTTTATGCATGTGATGTATATATATCATGTCTAATCATTTTTTATTGTAGCTGTTTTATCTTTGTTGATCTTATACTTTATGTTATTTACAGTCGGTTATAAAAGCTCCTAGAGCTAATGTTGTACTGTTGAAAACTTGCCGACTGGAAAATTTTTTTATCTTATCTTATCTTATCTTATCTTATCTTAATTTTCATATCATCTGGGACAACGCACCCCATCTGTTATTGAAGAATTCACAATATAAGTTATAGGGATTTTTAACACATCAGCACCATCTTTAAGAAATTGTGCAGGGATACCATCGAATCCAGTGCTTTTGTTTATATTAAGCCTACATAATTCTTTATATACAAACTCCTCACTTACATGATGAAGACGAAACTCTTTTTGTGATATGTTCCTATAAAAATTCTTAATTGTATCAGATGCCACACTATACAAATTCTTTGCTGTCGGGAGTTTCTGTACTAAATTAGATGCAATATTTGTAAAGAAGTTATTAAAATGACTTGCAACTCTGTATATTATAACACAAATTGCTTTTTGAGTAAATCTAAGTATTGTTTCAAAATGAAATGAATCATTTGTAAATGCCTTGAACAAAATTAATGTTTTTGTAACTTATTTACAAGCGTGGCACTTTATAACCGTGGTACAATGTAGCGTACAAGTAAAACAAAGTTGTTCCCCTTTTATAATATGCACACTTTGCTCAGTTATTGACGTCGTTTCGTGTAACGATACCTGCTTAAACAGTTAAACTGTGAAAAACGATGGGAGTATGATACTGTTTTTTTACAATGTTTAAAATGAAATTCACTCTGTCACGAGCCGTCATTATTATCATAATTGCCATCAGTTTACTGTTTGCTTTCAATTTTTGCTTGGCCTGAAAATAAAACTGCTATGGATGTACTACCCGGAGCTTGACGCGGAGAATATTTGGAGGGCTGAAGTGACTGATAAATCACTATGGACATCTCTGGCTCCAGATATGAAAGTTACAACTAATTTTATTGATAGTAAAGATAAAACTGTTAACTGATAGGTTCTTAAATTTGAAAACATAGACTCTTAAATTTTTTGGGGAATTCTCCAGTAACTGTTTTTAAAAAGTTTTAAAGGGTTTTCGGGTTTTGGTGAGAAAAAAAAACAGGGGTGATTTTTAAAAAATTTAAATTCAAAAAATTCATTTTATCCTGAAAATGATTTTCAGAAAAAGGCTGTGAAATTCGGGGTTGTTGCTGGTATCAAGTTATGGCCAGAAGAAAACCATTGAAGTCAAAGATTGAAAATGACACACAAGCACCTGTAGACGTACCATACTGTTTCTACCCAAGGAATTTCCCAAGTTATTTAGTAGATGAAAGAAATGATACACCAGTTGGATTGAGTATTAAACTAAAAGGAAAACCTCCAACATACTATCCTAAAGGTGTAAAACAACTGGCTGTAGATGTTTCATTTGAGTCTAATCAAAGATTACATGTCAAGGTATACACATATATTGTAATTGTATTATCATTTTTAATTACATAATTGAGCCGTGTCACGACAAAACCAACATAATGGGTTTGCAACCAGCATGGATCCAGACCAGCCTGTGCATCCGCGCAGTCTGATCAGGATCCATGCTGTTAGCTTACCAACTCTATTACAAGAAGAGAAACTGATAGTGAACAGCATGGATCCTGATCACACTGTGCGAATGCGCAGGCTGGTCTGGATCCATGCTAGTCGCAAACCCATTATGTTGGTTTTGTTGTGACGCGGCTCATATGATCATTCGCATGATAATTCATATAGATTAGTGATCCTCCTCAGAGGTTAGAATTGATTGGTGAATAATATTTTAGTAATTACTTCAATCTAATTCTATAGTGCACTACATTGTACATATTAATTTACTTGGAGTGAGCACGGTATGCTTACATTTGTGTATTATCAATCTTCTGAATTATCATAATCTGCTTATTATTGTATTGTTTTATAATCTTAATGTTCAGTTTTAACTATTTAATACATTTATTTACTTTTTGATCATAATTTCTGTGCATTAATACTTTTCAAGATATGACATCTTAGCAGAGTGTGTCATCAAATTTACATTCTTTTTTACATCAATGACTCAGTGACTGTGTTCTCTTTTTTTTATTCAAATGGAAAATTGATAATTTACCAAAGAGGCACATACAAAGCAGTTAAGATATAACAATGAAAGGGAAGTTACAGAATAACTAGTTTGAAATGTTACGGAATAAGTTACCTTTATTCTGACCATAATAGTTGCATAAAAGATTTATAATTTTCCCCCCAGATATTTGATCCATTAAACAAGCGTTATGAGGTACCATTAGATGTCCCAAAGTGTAAGAAGAAAGCTACAGAACCTGTGTATACAGTCACCATTAGTGAACCAGGATCGCCTTTCTGGCTTAGCGTAACAAGAACAAGTGATCTCACTAATGTGTATGATATTTTTCTCATAGCAAAGAAAAACATTATGACTACCCTATCACTTACTTTATTCATTCTGTAGGAGTAAAACGGATTCATGCAGCCTACTTTTCATAGATAATAGTAATAGTATATGAATAAATTATGTATAGTATAATTATAACTAAATAAGATAAAAGTTAAAACAATACAGAAGTATACAATGTATTTGATTGTTATAAAAATGAGATAAAAATTACAAAACATGTTTAACAATTTTAGGTTTTCAACAAAAGGAGCAGCACCATTGATTTTTACAGATCAATTTCTTCAACTATCATCTCTACTCCCCTCATCATATATTTATGGTATTGGTGAACATAGAAATAATCTCATGCTGAATGTAAACTGGACTAGAAAAACACTGTGGAATTTAGATCAAATTCCTGAGGCAAGTTTTATTTCTTAAATTCAGTTCACAGATTTAAAAATAAATTTAAATATTAGACTTTAACAATGATAATTAATTTCTTTTTGAACTGAAAGATTTTACAAAATTTATTTGCATTTAAATAAGTTGAAGTTTAGGGTTTCATTTTAAAAGACATGATTGTCATAATTTTTGCTGTATAAATTCTCTAATCAAAATAAACCAAGGGTTTTTCATGACTTGACCTAAAAAAGAAAAATGTTGAATATTGGACCTTTGTAATTTATTCTGGTGTTAATTTAATAACTTGGCAAGTTAATTTAGTTTATTTATTTCTTTAGTTATGAAAGATATTTTCTTAGTTTCATGTAAGGCCACTACAACCCATTATACAACCTGACTTAGTCACTATGTATTTTGTGGCAATATTCCTCTTTTTGAATGTCCTGTTTTGCAATTGCTACCTCCATAACCACACACAATTTTATGTGTAATTAAACAAATGTTTTCTGGGTCTTTAAACAGCCATTCTCCTATAATTGAAGCACTTTTTAATAATTCCTGTCTCCAGTTTTAAAACCGTAGTAAAATGTACAGGCGAGCTTAATCCTTTGTGACAAACATTTAAATATGTACACTGGGATGTTCTCAACAGCTTAACTTAAATTTTGTAGCGTGGATGCTCCTCGTTTTTCATTTGTTTTAAACTGAAAAGCTATAGTAACTGCAAAAAAGCGCTGTCGCTTGACCAATTAAAGTTTAAGATTGGTGAAAAAAACAATCCATTTATATGTTTTCCAACAAGTTTTTGCCTAAAATCAATACAATATTGATAATAGATTAAGAATTACATAAGAAGTTCGAGACAGAGACCCTTATTTTCCATGATTTTCTTTAAATGCTGCCGTCGCCGAAATGCAACTATGGTACCATAACGATTTTAAACTGGAATGTAACGATCTTGAGATGCGTTATATTCTTTTAAATTTGTACTCAAAACAATATCAAAAGACTATATTTGGAATAAAATTAATAAATTAGACTCCTGCGATGATACATTTTAACACAAACCGTTTTATTGTAAATAATTCAAATGTCGCGTTTAAAATGCTATGCCTCCGTAACGGGCGTATACTTTTAAATATACATTATACCAATCAAATAAAAATTTAAAATATTGTTTTGTATTTCTTTAAATGAAAAACACCAAAATGAGATGTCGTTTGCACAAAAATGTGATAACTCTGACCCGTAGAAGTCTAACTTCACTATGTTTCCATAACGACTATTTTCCGTAACAAAACGATCATCCGAATTTTGGTACATTATACGGTTCAAATGACAGAGTGACTTTTTTGCCTATCACCGCGCCCAATGATACGTCACTAAGAGGTATGCATGCAACATCTTAATTGACTTTTATGATACAATTAGGCAACTGGAGGTAATTGGCAATCACTGTTCTTTATTTTGGCAACCACTGTTTTTGATTTGATAACAATGTTTTCACAATTATGTTACTTACACGAGAAATTTTACTGATAAAAATGGATTGCAAGCTTTATTTTCAGCAAACCACAGAGTCAAAAAGTAGCAAGTTTATGCTATTTATATTTTTTTTACCTGTTTGAAACATTTGTTACGGAACATAGTTAATTATTTTGAGATCATAATATGATGTCATATATGTACTTTATCCATAGTTATTTAACAATTTGAAATGAATGATTGGTTTCAAACATGGAACACATATTTCGATGAAAAAGAAGTGCACAGTTTATCAAATAGTCAAAGGCAATTTGTTACGGAAGCATAGTATTCTATCATCTTTTTTCAGCACCATAATACATATATTCAGTTTGTTTATAAAAACTGTTCCAGTGTGCTTTTTCATTATAAAGATATATGAAAATTGTGTCCAATATTAACTTGAAGTCTAACATGATTTGTATTGCGTTGTAAGGTTGCAGTTTTCCGTTACGGAACATATCAAATTTGTTACGGAACATAGCATTCATAAATTCTATGTTTGAATATGATTTTTATGTTTTTTTACTATTTATAAAATACCAAAATTGTATCATTATGTCACTTACATTATCTAAAAGTTTTAGAATTACAATTATCATGAAAAAAGTAATATTAATAATGATATTAATGTAATAATGATAAAAATGATGATTATTATGTAATTGTTATATTAATAATAATCATGATAAAAATAATTATTTTAATGATGTTCATGTATCAAGGTTAATAAATTTATAATAAGCAACGATTTTGTATTTTAGAATGGTGCTTTTAAAAACAAAAATACAGGAGACAAAGCAGAGAGGGGAAAACAACAAATAATTTAAAAGAGAAAGAAAGCAGAAAAAAGTATGTTCCCATTCAAAAAAGAAAAAGCACTGGTGAAGAAAATGTAGAGGAAACTACATGAAACATTATAACATTACAACAAATTTGTGTAAATTAGGCAGAAATAAAGCAAATAAAAGTGAAAAAAAAAGAATTTTTGTTCATTTTCAGTGAAAAACATAATATTTTATTTTCCATAACATATGTTCCGTAACAGATATCTTTTCCTGCACTACTCACTAAATTAAACTATTGATGTTATTTTTAATTGATACAGTGTTTTATGATTGATGTTGTTTGTGAAGATACCACATTTAAATTGTTTAAGTAATTTTAAAGAGTGAAAGTATTGAGTTATAAATCCTATGTTTTATAATTTTTCACCTATGTTCCATAACAGATCATAAGGTCTGTTTGATGATCATTTGTGCAGCGAAGTTTTTTTGGTAATGTTACACCGATTAAAAGTTATGCTTGATTTGTTTTCTGCTTCTATTTTAGATATAATTCGAAAACTTTTATGACAGTATTTGTTTGTGCATTGTATCGAAACAATGTCAATCTAAAGTTACGAAATTATTTGCTTATACAAGCTTTTCAAATACAAAGTATACAAGTTTCAGAATAAGATATGGCATAAAATATTTTTGCTTAAGGTAACCATTGGTCTTCAACTTTTCAATGCATATTCTTTTGGATTGTTTAATTTAAAATGTTAGTAAAACAATACCTCCAAAGTAATTCCTATGGTATATATATGTTCCGTAACAATGTAATTCAGTAACTAACTTCAAAAGCTTTCAGTATACAAACGGAGCGAATGGTGTGTGTTAAATTTCAACACAATCTGTCCAAGGTATTGAACATTAAAAGCAAATCATAGAAAACGTTGTTTATGAAAGTCAGATTTTTCATTTTTTGTGAACCAAAAGTGCTTCAGTTATGGGAGAATGGCTGTAAAACCAATGATTTAATCTATGATGAATTATTGATGCATCATTCTTATTAACAAAGGTACTGCATGACTATTCTTTTGCATCTGTGCAATGAAAAATAGTATGCAGATCTTTGGTAGTCATATACATGTATATATAGTCCTTGCTTTTTTACCTACATTTATATATCTTCTGGTAATATATTTAATATTTTTGGTATTATAACATAAGAAATACACAAATTATATGGAGATTTTATTGCATGATCGTTTGTGTATTTTCAGGAGGATTTAAATCTATATGGTTCACATCCATTCTATCTTGTGATGGAAGAGAATGGGAAATCTAGTGGATTCTTTCTCCTTAACAGCAATGCTATGGGTATATTCTTATATTTTTTAAATAATACACTTTCATAATTATCATACCCCCATTGCATAAAGTGGAGAGAGGCCATGGTATAGGCTCAATGCCAAGGTCACCTTTTAAGGTCAAATAACAAACAATTTTGAGTATGCTCTATAAATCCTATACACCTTGACAGTTTTTCATCAAACTTGGCTCAAATGTTCACATCATAAAAGTGATGGGCATAACTCATGCTGGGGTTGGGATATTGGTTATACATGTTTATTCTTATATGTAATAAAAGTTTTTAATGTTTTATATTTTGAGTATGTTTACATAAACTTTTGCATGTTTTCATTAAGTCCAAAGACCTGAGTGATTAATAACAAGCATATGGACTATAAATCAATTATCAAACAATAAACCATTAAATACTTATCTCTGTTTCCATGCTAATGTACGGACAATATGCCAACTAGAAAGACTATATAAATAGTTTAATATTCAATTAGTTTAAATACACATCCTTTACAGAATGGGGTTACTTTCCAATGTACATGCATGTAAATAGAGGTCTTGGTAAAATCTGTTGTTCGGATTTTTATCTAGTCCATCAAAATGGTTTCATAATTCATATATATACCAAGCTTGTTCAAACAATTTTGTATAGTCAAACAGTAATGTTAAATGAGGCAAAGCTATAAATTCCCTATATAGAGATAAGTGCAATTCTTGTCTCCATTTCATACCACACATAACTGTTTCATACAAGGAACTCTTAATGAAATATTGTTAGATATATGAATGTTAAGGACCTGATTGAAATTTTGTTTGTGATAAAATATTACAATAATTCTTGCATGTCTTTTATATTGAGATAAATTAACAAATTTTGAAAATATTTGATATCAAATAGGCTATCTGTGTTTAGATTTGTGCTATATTATCATACAAAAAATATTTTGTCCTTGATTTAATCTGTTTATAACAGATGGAATGTGATTATGCTTTTCACAACAGCTGTTTGCTCAAATAATACTGATTTTTCCAAAAATTGCTTCATTTAATAGACAGTGTCTTTTTTGCAATATAACAGGTATACTTGTTAGAAATTTAGGGCCAACATTGCTGCCTTTTAGCCATATTGTGTGACCTTGTTTGTTGTTTTTTGACAGATGTTGTGTTACAGCCATATCCTGCCATTACCTGGAGAACAACAGGTGGAATTCTCGATTTCTACATTTTCATTGGTCAGAATCCTGCTGATGTCATGAAAGAATACACCAATGTGATTGGTCGTACATTTATGCCACCATATTGGAGCCTTGGATTCCATATTTGTCGATTTGGTTATAAGTCTGTAAATGATACAATGAAAGTTGTTAACAGGGTTAGAAAAGCAGGAATTCCACAGGTAATTGAATATTTTCATACAGCTCAGATACTAAGTTCACACATGATTTCATACAGCTCAGATACTTAGTTCAGCCATGATTTCATACAGCTCAGATACTGAGTTCACACATGATTTCATACAGCTCAGATACTGAGTTCACACATGATTTCATACAGCTCAGATACTGAGTTCACACATTATTTCATACAGCTCAGATACTGAGTTCACACATGATTTCATACAGCTCAGATACTGAGTTCACACATGATTTCATACAATGTTCACAAGTTCACACATGATTTCGTACAGCTCAGATACTGAGTTCACGCATGATTTCATTCAGCTCAGATACTGAGTTTCACACATGATTTCATACAGCTCAGATACTGAGTTCACACATGATTTCATTCAGCTCAGATACTGAGTTCACGCATGATTTCATTCAGCTCAGATACTGAGTTCACACATGATTTCATACAGCTCAG